TACAATTTCGTAGATCTGCTAAGGGGCTTATCAGCGTCTTCCCATCGTAAGAGGCTATTTCGCCCACTTGTAATGAGTATAGGGTCCTAAGATGAACAGTAGACCCCCACAAAGGCATAGTAGAGTCCGTGTCCTCTATTTCGGATGTCATATATAAGCCCTCTGTGATTTGTTGCATTGGATGCCCCCTGACATTGTACGTAGTTCTTGCAACCTTGCAATCTTCAGCAGACATGGGCAATCTCAGGCGATCGACGATAGTGTAAGAGGTACGAATATATAAAATGTTATATACTAACACTTTAATAACGTCCCGATAACACTTGACTCCTGAGAGTTGCAAAGGGTCATTCTTAATTCCAAACAGCTGAACATTTGTTGTAATCATTGGTTCGCCAGGGGAGGAAAGGCAGGGGATGGCTTTTGGCAAAAGAAGAGACTGCACGAATTGCGATGTTCCGCATATTTGATATGCCGAAGTGATCGTAGGCAGAAGAAGGCATAGCACGCAAAACGGCGGAAGAGGCAAAATATTTTGCGGCTTCCTCGGCTGAGCAATAGCTCGCGGAGGGTACGCCGCGGAATTGGTATTTGACGGTTGATAGATCCCAGAGTCTGGGACTGGTTGGGTCAGCCCTGGATGGTCATATTGCGGTGGTTGATAATAACCCGGAGGGGGAGGATAGTAGTTCCGGGGAGTCATCCACGGATTCCACGGGTTCCCTCGTGGAAAACTTCCCCGAGGGGGAAAACTCCCTCGAAAACTTCCTCTTGGTCCAAAAGACGGACCAGGGCGCCTTTGTCCTCTTCCTCGACCGCGAGCGGCGAAGTTTCCGCGATTGGTTGTCCCGAAATTAGATCTAGTATTTCGGGAACGCTCTAATGATAGATTATTGAGCTGGTCTTGGATTTTTTCAAGTTTGTCATTGACTATGAGGGAATTTATAGCCCTCATAGCATCACGATCTTCAGCTCGCTCCTGGTCAAGAATTCGTGCTTCTTTCTCCGCGCTAGAGACTACTTCCTCATAATCGTCTTTCTTGGGCAGTCGCCTTATAGCTTTCCTAATGTCTGCTCGTAACCCTTTAATGAAAACATCTATGGCAAGTTGTGATATAATGCGCTTATCCTGCCCTTGATATGCTACCTTAGCCTTCGCTAATACCTTTCGTGCAAACTCTCCTACTGAGTCTTTTCCTTGGATAAGCCCATGCAGCTCGTCACGTATATTGCTCAAAACGGCCTCATTCTTGCACTTTTTCGCTAGCTCCATTACTAAATCATCCCATTTAAGAGTTTTGGCATTGTCGATAGAATTATATTTGATCTTCGCCGAACCTGTAAGGAACATGGGTAGGAGGCTTTTGGCATTCGGATACGAGATATGAAACCGTTCAACGGTGTCTACGTAATCTTCCAAAAACTCTTCAAAAGTCCGGTCCCCCACGCCTGAAAATTTCTCGATTCGGTCATTCAAGATCTTGTACGAGCGATAAATGGGGTGATCAGGGTCGACTCCGGGTCTAGAAGGTTCGGGTTGTTGCTGGTCACGTTGGGTGTTATGCTGATCAGATTCGCCGCGATTGTTGCTTGCCATGTTAGC